GCCGTGCGCTGGCCAATTATTTTTTACTTTTTTCGGTTACAGCTTATATCCCCCTGTTCTTAGAATCAATGGTGGCGCTTTGCTCAGTCCACACTCTGTCTAAAAGCTTGAAAATTCGTTTTTGGCTAGCAAAAAACTTGTTGCTCAAGGCTTCTTTAGTGCGCAAATAGCTCAGATGTGGAATGAATGATAAGCTTTCGGAACTCATTCGTGCTCATTCCATTGGAAAGTTCGCTAGCACCATTAACAGCCCTGCTTTGTGGTCTCTTTTTCGCAGGCATTTTACGTTAAGGTGCTAAATTTTCGTTGCGCTGATCTTAAACGTTTTGTGAGTCTCTGCTGTGTTTTTTGTGATTCGCTTCTTATGTACCAAGCGTATGACATGTGTATGTATGTATGTATGTGTGTGTGTATGTATGTGTGTGTTGTGTGTGTATGTATGTGTGTGTGTGTGTGTGTGAGTGTGTGTGTGTGTGTGTGTTTGCAAGTGTATATGTGTCCTGCTTGGCAATTTAATAACAAAATGTGAAATGTGTGAAGCGAAGTGCTACCAGCCAGAATATACCCTCTATTTTTGAATGTTTTGACCTCAAAATCGAGTGAAATTGAAGGGGGTTTTGACCTCTGTTATTTTCGAATTTGATTATTCTAAGCCAAAAATTAAGTTAATAAAAGCTCACAGCATCATCCCTAGGTAAATTGGGCGCAGCGATTGGTGCCGGTGGTACAATGTCAATGAAATTTCGAGATCTCGCTTTTCGTGCCATTGCAGTGGAAGCGAATGCATTTTGCTTGGCCCGGGCCGCCATCCTGGCTGCCAATTTCGTTGGCGATGGCGAATATTTCGTTTGTTTCAGAATCAGCGGCATGTACTTCTTTTCATTGCGCACCGAATCTGCAGCGCTCCGACGACCCACAGGAACGTAATTCGACTGCTGCTCCGCATCATAAGCATTCCTCTGAAGCTCATGTATTATCAAAATTGGTTTAGACGGACAGAATGAAGCTTTTACGCTTCTACAATATGCAAAAATACATCCAGAAAAGTATATATTTTTCAGAAAAATATATTTTCCTGGGACTACACCTTGTACAGGTTAGGGCATGTTACTTGTAATCTGATGCTCTGATTTTTCTGGGCTCTTTCATGCACAGGTCAGGGTATGTTATCTGTAATCTGACGCTCTGATTTTTCTGGAGCTCTACCATATAGAAATTAGGATATGTTACCTGTAATCTGATGCTTTAATGTACCAAGACGGTTCGGTTATTAGTATAGGCAAATCTCATGTTAGTGATGTTACTGGGATGTTTCCACATGCCGAGCTATGCCAGGCCTTTCGGCTCTGGGTTGTATTAGAAAAGAAAGTTATAATAAGAAAGAATGGAAAAAAAAGAAAGAAAAAAGGTAAGAAGTTGAAAATTAGAAAATTTGTGAGATACCTCCAGTTAGTGCTCCCACTACCTGTTCAATGTACAAAAAATAAATAACTCTTAAATTTCAAAAGCTAGAAAGCTGAAATTTTATACGTGCACTGGCACCGACATGCCAAAAAATACTGAAAGATAACAGTTTTTTTTTTTTTTTAAATGTAAGTAATATAACTGGAAAAAGAGGACAAACATTTTGGAAGTTTTTTCTTGGGACGGAGAAACTGTGCGAGCGTTGCAGCAGACGTGTTTGCAACAGCCAGGATGGGCCCTGCTCCACAAATGTCATCCATCGTGCACGTCGTTTTACCGCCTGAAGTGCCATCGAACCGAGCACCGGTCACCGGGATTCTTCAAACATTTCCACTGATCGACTGGATCTAAAAAAAATTCATATAATGAAGTAGAACGAAATACTAAATGAAGGAATAAAGCACTCAATGAACCGCAGTGGCGTGCTGTAAAAGGCGATTTTTTGACTACTGCTTTATGTCTGTCCTGGAACTCCTCTTCCTTTTCAGCCCCGGCTTTTTTTGTCGGTTTCCGGTCGTTGAAATCATCTAAGACGGGGAAATTGGGTTATTCCCTTCTCATCGAGGCAAAAATTGAAGCGTTTTGGGGAGGGGGAGGAACAAGGTGATGGGGGAAGGGGAAGGGGTGGGGGAGGAGGAAGGGCCGAGGGGATGGGGATTATGTGAAATAACTATCGAAGGAGTTCCTATATAAAAAGCGAAGCGATCCCATATTCGCGGTCTATGTGTCGACCTTTATCACATTTTCGTCTAGTCCATCCAGCTATACGTCCCTCTGCTGGACGTAGGCAAACTCACGAAGTATTCCTGTCGGGAAGGGAGAGGGGAATCACGGGATGGGGAAAGTCCCTTCCCACCCTGGTACCATGCAAAAACTAGGAAGAGAGTTGTAACACACTGCTACTTAGAGTTACTTTAGTTTTGTTTATCAACACGCCCCGACTTTTGCAGCACTGGTGCCTGTACCGCCAGGGGGAGGAGCGAAGGACGCCCCGCCTCCTCCATCTTTTGATCCGCCTATGCTGCTGGCCCGCCTCCTGGACTCGCCAGTGCTACTGGGTCAGTTCGCATTTTTGTGTGCTCCAGTCCAAGTGATTCCTGTGCTGCCTGTTTTCTGGGCCAGCTCTTCGTCTCATGCAATAAGATTCCTTCGATTCATTGAACACATACATACACAGAGGGTACCAAAATGCATCATGTTCAACTGTACTAAATTTCAAATAAACCCAAAATGGAGGACAGAAAGTGTTGTGCAATGGGAACCAGTGAAATACTCGTTAATACTGAAATCACAGATTTCCAGGTATCACACGCTGCTTGATGGCAAATTGCCAAATTGTGGTGACGATCAACATAAACACCCACACACACCCACAACAAGGATATCACGAAAAAACTGAAGCCTTGTCAGGGGGTACATCTGCCCAAGAAAACGCTGAACTCAAAATTCTTTTCGGGAAGATGAAACGAACAACAGAATGGTCAGCACACTGGCAATGCAGCACTTGTCAAAGCAACTGGGAAAGTTGTCAAAATTCTGCATAATTAAAAATCACCACGCTAGGCATAGTTTATAATAATAAAAACTCTTTCATAAAACCGATATGAAAAATTTTAATGGAAATTTTAACAACAAGCAGATTCGTCCATGTTCCTTCTGTTGCAACTCATTCTATCGGAAATTTCGCTAGCACCATTAACAGCCCTGTTCTGTGGGCCTCTTCGTCACAGTACGGTAAGGTGCTAAATTTCTGTTGCGCTGATCTTAAACGCTGTGAGTCTTCGCTGTGTTTTTGTGTTTCGCTTCTTGTATACCAAGCGCATGACATGTGTGTGTATATGTGTGCGTGTGTGTGTGTGCGCGTATGTGTGTGTAAGTATATATGCGTGTCCTGCTTAGGGATTGAATAAATCCTGTGACGCTTCTTATATACCAAGCGCACGACATGTGTATGTGTGTGTGTGCATGTAATTATATATGTGTCCTGCTTGACAATTGAATGAATTCTGTGACGCTTCTTATATACCAAGCGTATGACAAGTGTGTTTATGTGTGTGTGTGTGTGTGTGTGCGTATGTGTGTGTGTGTGCGTGTGTGTGTCTGTCTGTGTGCATGCAATTATATATGTTTCCTACTTGGCAATTGAATAATAAAATATGAATATGAAATTTTACAAAAACCAAGAACACTCGTCTTATCATTGCAGGTACCCGTGTTAGTGATATTACTCTGATATTCCCATATGCTAAGTACAGCTATGCCAGGCCTTTCGATTCCAGGCTTCCCAACTTCCAAAACACTACAAACCACTTATTCGATTTGCATGCGTCACTTCTTCAGAAGTCGTCCGAGTGGTTGTTTTTTAAGTAAATTTGTCAAATCCGTTCGTAAAAATTTAACCGAATTCTACGCACCCATAAACTGCTCAAAAAATCGCACGCTGACTACAACACCGATGTACACGACGAAAAAAGTGACGAGTCCTAAAAGCAGTCAATAGATGTAGTCGACAACGACTGCCAAAACTCGGTTCGGCCGAGCACATATTTGTTGGTTTGAGTGTGAGTTGCGGAACTTGTGTCCTGCACAAGTGCAGAGTTTTTATGCGTTTTTTGCAGCTATGCAATGCAAAAATGCATACTGTCGAGGGGTTGTCTGAGTGTATGTGCGTACGTGCGTATGTATGTGTGTACGTGCGTGTGTATTTGTGTCGATATGTGCCTCTGTAACGGGTTTTCGTTTCGAGACCCACAAGAGCTAGAAGGCTGAAACTTCGGCACCTTAATCTACATATACGTGGGGACCTCCATCCTTAAAATGGACGCTCACGTCCGCGTGGTTCCCACGTACGGGCACGTGAAGGTTTTTTGGCGGGAAAGCGTTTTCGGAAATGGTGTAAGATGGAGGGCTGAAACTTCACAAAGATGTTCCTTGCCGGGTCTAATCCAAAGATTTCAAATTCAGCCTTCGTGCACCCGTACGTCTCACGTACGCACACGTCAAAGTCTAAACTGGCAATGTGCCAACTCCATATTTAAGCTGACCAAGAAGTTGTAAAGAGCTATAATTTTGCAGCTTTACTTGCTGGCCATTGTTATGTCCGTGGGAGGTAAAATGAACTTTTCAGCTCCTTTGCATCTCACGTATCGACACGTGAAAATTTCACTCAGGCAGTTTTATAACTTCGGTACTGAAGCAGCTCGACGGCTTGAAATTTCCGAGCATAGCCGACGACGGCGTTTGACTAATTGGACGTGGAAACAAATTTCACGTTGCTTTTGTGTTTTATACACGTTTCACATGCGAACACGTGAAATTTGACGTAACTCTGCAACCAAAGCAGCATGAGTGCAGAAAGTTTCTGAGCGTTGCCCAGGACCGTGTTTGAGCAACCGCAGGCAAAAAAAGCATTCACTTTGCCACTCACGCACGTGAAATTTGATGTAATTCCGCAGTAGAAGCATTTAGAGCGCTGAATTTTTTTAATGTGTGGACTGGGAGTCATTGTAATAATTTCTAACAGTCGTGGTGGGCAGTCTCAATTCTTTTAGCGAGAAGCATCTGCTGGAAAGAATGTGCCGCTGGCGAAAACAGCCTGTGCGGGAACAGTGCAAAAAACACGTCCTTGCACCGGCAGCCGGTGCGCTTTCGACTAGGTTTTATCTGCCTGTGATTTTAAGTTCGTCACCAAAGCTAGTCATTTTCAGCAGCTCATCAACTCCTCTGCTGAGTGTTATAAACCCTTACAACCTCGCCCCTTATCCGCGTCCCCTGTTTCCAGTTTCACTGTTTTTTTCCGGCAGATGCTTCTAGCTAAAAGAATTGAGACTGGCCACCATGACGATTGTCAGGAATGAACCTCACCTTTTATTCGCTCTCCTGTCTCCAATTCTTACCTCCTAACAAGGCCTTTGCATCTTTCCACTCAGTAGTTCCGTCCCTTCTACCTTCTTTTTATCGACCTCTAAGACTAAAACTACCACCTCAACTCCTCCCCCCCCCCCTTCTGCTATTCATGTATGCTTCTATCTGGCCGTACAGAGCAGCCCATCATAATCACCGCGGTTAGCTTCCCAACTCACTTGAACCGAATAAAACTGCTGTAGCTGTTGTCTTACTACTAATTGTAATGTTGTAATTAGATCGGTTGTTCCCCTCCCCCTCTTCTCCGTTTGATCGTCTTTCATATTTGCGAATGCAAGAACGCATATTGTGATGACCCCGGTGTGTGCATGTGTCTGTGTGGGTGTATGTTTGTGTGTCTGTGTTCGTCCATCTGGGTATTTCTCCTTGGCAATCAAGCAAGCTCCGGCGCCAAAATTTTGCCAGCGCGTTCTTCAGTCAGTTGCCATTCCAGGGTCGCGGTGCCAACCATTACACACGCATTGGCTCCGTGTACGCTCACGTGAAAGTTTTGGCGAGGAAGCCACTAACTCGAGAATCAGAAAAGCTGGAAAGCTGTAATTTTAACAGAATGTTCTTTTTCCAAGTACCACGTAGTAGTTGTACAATTAGCTTCCTGAAATTCGAGGACCAGTATGTCACAAATTCTAGTTATTGTGATTCCAAGCAATCTTACTACAGCACGAAATATTGCAAAAACGCACGGTTGCACGAGGCCGTCTGGTGTGCGTCGCCAATGATTTCAGAAGTTGCTTACAAGCAAGCTTTTGGTGGCGGCGAATCTAAATATCTGACGTGTGCAAGTACCAATTTACCATCGAAACGAATGAACGAATCGTAGAGGGGGATTAGTTGTACCTCACCTCACCGGAGGATTCGGATCTACGACTTGCTGTTGCTTGATAACAGAGCTTCTTTTCTACTGTTCTGTGCGGGGCGTATCACTGTAGCATTCGCGCTTGCAAAATATAGGAAAAAGAGAGTGCCACAAGAATTTGTCTTTACCTTACCATTTACTGCGTCTTTACCATTTCCCACGGAATTCACTTAAATTTTAATCAATTTTCTAGCCCTTCCTTGCTTTTGCCACGGATTTCTCAAAATTTCAAAGATTCCGGTACTTTTGGGTGTATCGCGGAAAACCCACGAAAAGTCGGCCAAGAAGCTGCCAAAAAGAACAAGGTGTATTGTGCCTTGAAAGGCAGATAAACAGCAAATGTGCTGCCAGTTTTTCTGAGCCTGAAGCACAAGGACCGGTGGTGTGGTGGTAACACATTGCTTCCGGATGTAAGGAAGAGTGGCTCGATTCTCTCCCGGTCCAGAAGAGTTTTTGAAAACGGACTTCGTTCACGACAGGTTGTACCGCAGACAGCCCGGTTTTTTCTAATCCATAAAGACCTAAACCGAAGTGATCTGTCCCTCTTATCTCTGAATTAAAATTGAATGGACCGACTAATCCAGCGTTTGCATTCATCGCAAAATTGACTTACAGCATCCAGTAGTAATTGAGCATCTTACATCAATCCCATCGCGGGTATATGACGAGATATTCTGGATAAAGGTAGCTGCCGACCGTGAAACTTTGTAGAGCTGTAGATTCGAGCGGTAGTATCCGAGCAGTGCTTTCACCGATTGTGACAGGCTATTACTGCAAAGTTGCCCTTTTATAGTAGAAAAAAATTTGCATAAATTCTTTATACACGAAAATGATCGTTTCGGTGTTGAGCGGTCGTTCAGATATGCCACCCCAGCAGCATCTCGCCGGTTTTAAACCCTTATCCATTTTAATTAACCCTCCCCCTTGTATTATTTTGGTCAAAACGTCTCCATTTTAATCTTTCAAGGATGAAATACAGACTCCAAACGGACCTGATCCTTTCGAACATGTAAATTTCCAAACACCACACCTTACTATATATTTCATTCATCCGCAGTTTTTCTGTACAGTTCTAAAAATTTCATTAAAAATATAGCCTGGCCTGTCTGTGCGTATATTTGTGGGTGTGTATGTTCGTGTGTGTATTTGGGTATGTTTATGTATGTATTATATGTATTTGTACGTATGCGTGTGTTTGTGTGTATGTATTTGTTTGTGTATTTGTGTGTATATGTGTTTGTGTATATGCTTGCGTGTGTGTATGTGTGTGTGTGTGTGTGTGTGTGTGAGTGCGCACATATATATACATATATATACATATATATATATATATATATATATGTGCTGGATGACCGGATGCTGCTCTCCGACAGGAAACTTATTCACAGTTTAATGTTTACGACAAGTTGCAGTAATACGTGTTTTCATACGCGTTCGATGATTTTTTTTTCTGTAAAAGAAGTCTTTTATGTTTTTTTTTACTGTTTCAGTTCAGAGAACGACAAAAAAAAAAACTGTTTTTGTCAAATCAGGAGCGTTTTCAAAATGGACGAGAAATCTCCCGTGAAAAGGCGCAAGACCGAGGTATGTTTTAGATGCCAAAACGATCTTAGTCGACCTTCGTTGGGATCTGGCTTGTCTTGAAGTGCATATGCAAATCTCATGAGAACCCACTGGGAATCCATTGTCTTCCTCAAGCAACATTGGCCATTTTAGGTTGCTCTTTTAAATTTTTAAATTCATTTCTTATTTTTTCTCAAATTTAGGTAGCAATCTCAGTGTTTCTGTAAGAGGGTGAGGAAAGGGAAGAGCTAAGCCAAAACCTGCTAATGAACCGAAAAAAGAAACTGTGTTGGAATGAATACGCCATGCACTGTTTCGAAGTGGTCTGTTGTGAACGGATACCTTTCCCAAAAATTGTTCCGGACCGGGAGGGAGTCGAACCAATTCCCTTCACGTGCGGATACAATGTGTTACCACTACACCACCAGTCTCTGGGCTCTAGGTTCAGCCTGACAGCACACCTGTGTATCTGCCTTTCAAGACAGGATGCTCCTTCCTTCTCTTTTTCTTTGTGACGGCTTTTTGGCCGGCTTTTTATGGTTCTTCCGCGATAGTACCAAATCTTTGTACAAAAATCCAGACTTCTGCAAAAAGGGGATTTTTTTCAAATAATTCAGCTCAAAACTTTATATCTTCCCGTCTTTTCAAAAGTCAAAATTCTGTACTCACTCAGAAGTAGCCGGAATATCAGTGCATATCGAGATCAACCACCTGCCAGCAAAACTGTCGATGATTTCCTGTTGTGATTATCCCCTAAGAGCTTACAAAATTTTCGTCCCTTGGTTTGCGCCTCATTGAAACAGATAAGTAAGATTGGTTGTTTCTTGAGCTTTGGCACTTTGCCATACCTGTTAGCATAAGTCATTTAACTGAATTTTCCTCAATTTTTAACTAATTTTGATGAATTTTTATGCATGTTTCATTCAGCCTGGCATGAATTATGATGCGCCTTTTGAAATGCTAACGCCAAGTTCGCAGCTACGTGATATGGATCTGGTACGTTGGCTGGATAACAAACTTGGCGACAGTAATGAGCTATGGAGTGGCCGTCAGGCAGCTTCATTATTGTCACGGGAGATGTTGGAGGAATTGGAAACGTGCTTCCAGAAACTCGAACCACACGTGAAGCTCAAAATTGTGCTCGCTATCCCGCATTTGTCCTATCGACTTGTCACAATGGTACTTTTGTTATGGTTTACTATGTAGTTTTGTAGGGTTCCTGGTTCGGAACTTTTCGCTGGCCAAAATCGTCCGCGGATCATTGTTTTGCCGAAGCGTTATGCTTATTTTACTCACTTGTATAGTTTCATGGTAGTTGAAGATGCTACAAAAATCAAGCAGGTACTAAACGCGGAAACGCAGATCACAGTGGTACGGGAAGCAGTAAGAAAATAGAGAAATAAATTTGGATCCCAGAACCCTACGCGCCTGTCCGTCCGGTTTACGATCTTGATGCCTAAGCATATGATTTATGGAGGCTGCTTTATATGGACTAGATTTTTAGTGGCGAAAGCCGTTGACAACTCTGCTGGAATTGGCACAGAACGATGCGGATGATTGGATCGAAACTGTTGCAAATATGTATCGTGAATATCCGGATAGGCAGTGTATTATTCCACTGCCGTCCAATTCGAATTCGTACTTCCTAAAAACGCTTGAGGAATTGAGGAAATTGGGTAGGTAATTTTTTGGCAGTGTGCCCATTTATGAATTCACAAATACTTATCTAAATACTTGAGCTCATAAATACTTAAATACTTGAGCAGCAGCAGTTTTTCATCGATGTTCGTTGTCACGCCATTGATGCAGCACTGGCAACTTCTCCATTCAACTTGTTGTTGCGCTCTTCGAGCCCACGTGGTGCCGAACAGGCGTACCACGGGGTCTCTCCACCTCGCTGTTGACCTGCCTATGAATTCATTAAAATGGGAAGAAAATGCCATGCTTGGTATATATATATATATATGTATAAATATGTATATGTATATATGCATATTTTGGTATTCTTATGCCTAAAATAGTCGTTAATTTATAGTCATATTCGTACTTTATGTATTTGGCAACTTCCAATTACTTTAACTAATACTGCATCGTTTAGTGATCAGTGTGTTAGCGATCCTGATGTTCGTTTCGACTCTTAAAGTGGTTATTAGCTCATAGTTTTCCTGGCAGAAGCCCTTGATAAGGCTTCAGCCGTTTCAGATTTGTCTATAATGTGTGCTGAGCATCAAAAATCCTGGCCTGGGATGTTGGATCTCGGTGCTTAGTGAATTTGAACTG